CCCCAAAACCCCAAAACCCCAAAACCCCTAAAAAACTTCTAAACTGAATACCCTTTAAGCATTAATCAGAGCTTTACTTTAATATTTACTCATATAAGTTTATATTGATGTTCATGTTTTGAATGTCATTTTGGGTCGATTGGATCAGTGCTCGGATATTAGCCAGATCTGAGTCTGAAGTATTCAAGATAGAGAAGTCTGTAGCTGGTGCAGGAGGGTTGGAAGGGGCTGCAACAAATGTAGATTGGACTGGAGTTGGCTGAGGTTTTTGGAAAGTTGGATTTTGAGCAGTTTGAATTGAGTTTGAGGTTGATGAGTTTGTATTATGAGTGTTTTGAATTAGATCTGCAAATCAAGTCTTTGAGGAAGGGTTTTGAGGAGCAGCTGGATAGTTTGGGCTTGGTGCTTGGTACTGAGCCATGTGGCGAACAATATGGATTGGAATCTCCCTATGCTCCTCTTCCTCCTCATCGTCAGAATCGTTATCAGCAGGTGTAAAGTTATTTACATATGAATTCTGCTCTCTATTATTCCATTGCAGTTTATTCGGAGCTATCCCTTGAGTTCTTTCTTGAGATTTATTCTCAATACTCTCAGGACTGATACTAGTTTTCTCATTTTTATCAATAGGAGAGACCTCTAATTCACTAGAATACTGAGCGTTTGACATATTTCCTTGCCAAGAAGGTTGCTCTGGATGCTCATACGGTTTAAATAAGCTCTGAGGGTCATTCAACCCTTGTCCAAGCTTAAATGTATCCGGACTAGCCTCATTCTTGGCAAATGTGCAAGCCAAACTTTGAAGAGGGTTCAAATTAGGATTCTGATTCTCGCTGTTCTCATAGCTATAAATTCCTTTGTAATTAGGAATCAAACTGGGAACCTCTTCAGCTGGATTTTCATCCTCTTTCTGTAAATATTCAGGCTTGTCTGTGTAATCCTGAGTCTCTAGCTTTGGCATTGGCGGTAAATTGAAGTTATAAGCAGAATAATCTGATTGAAAGCCAGATGTCTGAGGTTTCACAATTTCTGGCGCTTTAGAAGCAATAAAATCTACCTTCTCTGGTTCAGATCTTTGCTCAACTGGTTTTTCAAATGGTTTTGAGCCAAGTAGAGAGTTTAATTTACCGAAGCAAGAATCAAGGTCGTCATTTGCAAAGTCAAATTTTTCTTGCTCTTGATGTATTTTCTTAAGATTATCAAGATTAGCCTGGAAATCAAGGTAATCATGCTCTTTATTCTCTCGTTCCTTCTCTTCAGGGGGGTTATAGGTAGGGTTGTTATCATTCATGATATCAATGACTTCATCAAGCTGTTCTTGGTCATTATGCTTGTCTTCACCATGCAAGTCTGAGTTGAACTTATAATCTTTTCTGTCATATTTATCATAAACTTTGAACACATCCTCTTCCTCTTGTTTGGGACTATCTTGGGCATAGTCAATAACTCTTTTATCACGAATAGTAGCTGGCTTGGTTGATGTTATTGGCCGTTTCCTTCCTTTCTGTCCTTTTTGGGGCTTCTGAAAGTCATTATTTAGAGCTCCTTGCATCTTTAGTTCTTTCTTCTCAACTTCTCTTTGCATCTTTTTGTGATTTACTCTCTTGGGTTGTGTAAAGGCAGATTCTTGTCTTTTTCTGAACCTATTCTGGTATTCATCATGCAAAGCACGGTCATTTCAGAAGGTAGACATAGCAGTAAATTTCTTCTGCTTGGGGCCAAGCCATTCTTTGTATTCTTGAGGAACTTGACCGCGCATGAGAGCTTCCTGTTTGTTCCTCCACTCTTGCTTAGCTGCTTTTCTATTTTTTGAGACAAGATTGATCTTCTTTTGTAGCAGGTCTGCTTTAGATGATTTAAAATCTTGAGTTTCTACAAATCTGTCGTTCCACTCGGGACGATTCGATAACTTCTTTTTAGACATTTCCCAGAAATTTTAAGTTGGATATTATTAGAAATTTAAATTATTCAATTATAAGGGCTAAATTAGGGGTTTTGGGGTTTTGGGGTTTTGGGGTTTTGGGGTTTTGGGG